AGCAGCAGCACCACGATGCTGAAGGAGCTGAAGGAGCTGTTGGAGGCCGCCTTCGAGCTGCGCGAGATCTCACCGGTCGTCAAGTACCTCAGGCTGGAGATCGTGCGTGACAGGCTAGCAAGGAAGCTGTGGCTGCACCAGCAGGGCTACGCCGATAAGTTGCGCAGGCGCTTCATCGACAAGGAGCAGACCGGGCGCATTCCGAAGATGCCAGTCTCAATCGACGCCTACGCTGAGCTGACTTTCGATGACGGAGAGGTGCAGGAGCATGAGGAGGAGAAGTATCGACAGAAGGTTGGCTCGCTGCAGTTCGCGGCGACGACGATGAGGCCGGACATCGCGATCACCTGTAGCAAGTTGGGGAGCGGCCTCATGGTGACTGGTCGCCCGCTGCATCGCCTACCTTTCTGACATCCGCGACACTGCCAGAGTCGCTGGAGCTGGTCGGCTATGTGGATGCCAACGATGCCAGCGACAAGAAGAATTGGACAAATTGGACAAGCACGGGCGGCTACGTGTTCGTCTATGGAGGGGCCACTGTCTCCTGGTCGACCGAGTTGGAGTACATGGCGGCCACGGACGCTGGCAAGGAGGGACGCTAACTTCGCTTCCTCCTTGCGGAGTTCCAGCAGCTCGACGCTGGAAAGTCGACTGTTTTCCGTGTGGACAAGTCGTCCATAACAGTCGCGGAGGGCTTGGGGCTGACGGACAACCTCAAGCACATGGAGCGACGCCACACCTGGCTGCAACACATAGTGAGGCGCGGGAAATTATTGCTGAGGTACATCCCGACCACCGAGCAGCCAGCCGACTTTTTGACGAAGGCGCTGCACGGCCTTCAACCGGTGCTCCGTCGCGATCGGCCAAGTGCGCCTAGCCAACATCGGCGATGGGGATGATGAGGTGCAGCAGTAGGTGCCGTGCCCTTCTGCACGGCTGGTGCGGTGACGGCGTGCTGTGTGTGGGGTGCACGGCGAGGACGAGTTTTCTCTGTGGAGTACTGCCGTATGGGATGGGGAACTCAAGCGTGAGCGCGAACGGGAATAGAATGTTGGCCCCGCCCTCGCTTGGGCGACGATGACGTCCTGGTTGGATGTACAGAAGAAGCAGCTGACCGTTGGCAGTGAGAGAGAGCTGCTCGACAGGCTTCGTCGAGCTGCAGGGGATCGATGTAGTGTTGTTGTCGACCAGGGGTGCTCTACGGCCTTCTTCTGTGGGGCAAGTCGATGAGGTGGTCGTCGACCTGCATATTACTGTCGTGGGGCTAGAGCCATCGACCAGGGGAGCTCGACGGATGCAGCTGACTGGGCTAGTCGACGCATGGGCCATCGACCAGAAGGGCCAGTTCGATAGACGCGGTGGTCGACGAGAGGCTCGTCAATCAGGCGCACATTGGGTGGTCGACCAGGTCGACCGGGAAACCTGCTCAGCAAGTTCGACGGAGGCACGCGAATGTGGTTCGTCGAGGTCGCGATGGCGAAGGCGACTTCGGGCTGGTATCCCGAAGTCGATTTGGCTTGTCAGGCGCAGCCCACGGATGCACAACGATGCAGGTCGGGTCAATCGTCTGCGCACACATGCGAGCTTGCGCATTGGTGCCATCTACGGGTGCAACGCTGGACAGCCGCTCTGCTGGAGCCTTGGCACGCCGTCGACCTGCTTTGTTGGCAGGTTGCCTTTTTGCAGTGCTGGTGCGGTTCCTTTACGCAACGTTGGTAGGCGGTCGACCGTGCTGTGCTAGCGTTCGAACAGACTAGCTGTAGAGTTGCTAGGTACCTGATGTGCTCATTCTTGTCATTGTCATTGCTATCAATTTGTAATTCCAACTTTGGTAGTGGAAATTTTTGCTGATTTCTCTCGTGAATGCGAAAGTGCTAAAAACCAAACGAATCTACGATCACTCATACAGTCTGTGCCAACATCCCCATAGTATAGCTCACGACTGTTGTTGAGTGACTCTCCGGAGATTCAGGACTAGTTACCCCTGAAATAAGTTCACAAATACGTTTAGCGAAATCATTTAAAACATGCACAATTTTGTCTGCAACTTAGTTACATCTGTAGCGAGTCGCGAATCAAAGCCCAATAAATAAAGAATTACATTTTTTGTAATTCACTTGCTACAAACCGCATAATTAATACGAATTACATTTTTTGTATAACCTGAAATGCCCGTAAAAAAAACACATAAAAATTACTTGTGCGGCTTATAATATCAACCGTAAACATATTTTCATATAGAATTTAGGGTTGATGCCTCATCAATAGCAGACGATCAAAGAGGGTTTTTTTTTTTTTTGTAGCATGCAGATTCATAGCACAGAGATTTCTTTAACCTTCTTGTTTCCGCGACTCGCTATGGAAAAAAAATTGCGCATATACGAGAAAATCTGCTGCGAGTTGAAGGACCATGAACATTTTATCTCAACAGTTTTATGGCAGTTTTATGGTAGTTTTATGGCAGTTTCAGCTTGCAGACCGCACATTTTATATGTGACGAAACGTGATAATTTTGTGTAGCGTGTGACTATTCGTGATAGAATTCCAGATTTTTTTACCATAGGTGATGATAGCCAACTGACTATCCGTGATAACGAGCCCCTGTTTGTGACCAACTGTATAATAACCCTAAGGCTTGGCCATTCGCCCGTCCCATCCATCATTTTCTTCGCCTTTTCCACAACCATGACACCAGCCTATCCATGGCGGCCTGTCACCTCACGTCAAGAAGCCGCACCACCAGCGACGTTCCATTTGAGGCGCCGTCGACTACACCCGTCCCGTCATTTCTATTCCCCCGCCTCTCTGCTTCCCTGCCTCCTTGTCGCTCCCCTTGCGCTTCGAAGCCAACCCAGATGCCTCTCACACCGTGTGACGGGACTAAAATCCAGTCGCACCGACTTGCGAGATCTCACGTGTGAATTCCGCCGTTGGGTTACACCGATCGACCCTGCCGTCGCGACTGTGACGAGATGGAAAGAGCGAGTGAGCGAGCAGCTGGTAGTTCGTTTCCGCATCTGCAGCCGATTCGCTCCATCCCGCGCGGAGCTGCTTGTCAGCCGAAAGCTGCTCTCCTCTCGTCAAGTGAGGGGCGCGCTGGCTCCCCGCGCGGCTCTCTGGCAGTGCGAGAGTCTGTGATCCTGACTTTCTCACTGGCAGGGAAAGGTAGCTTAGGGTTTTCCAAAGGCTGGACCAAGAATTTTCAAGAAATCGAAGCTCCTGTGGGGGGGCGAGTATCTGCTTGACAATCGCGCTCAGCAGTCGTGAGACGCGTTCCTTACTGGTTGTAACTCGCGGAGACGACGGCTTGGTTGTTTGGGACGTCTGGAGTGAATGGCTGTCGCTGCGAATTCCATGATGCGCCCCCCGCGTGTGCTGTTTCTTCTGATGCGGCAGAGCAGACGAGTGCACGCAGCAGCGCCGTGCACGTTTCTTCCCGTGCGGCTGTCTGCTCTGCTGCTGCTCGCGTCTGTCGGTTCGGCTGCCTTTCTGGACGCGCAACCACAGCGTGCCAATCTCTCGCGTCGCCCTCCCCACGTAAGTGACTCTCACAGCACCATCCTGCCCTCACAGCACCATCCTGCCCTCACAGCACCATCCTGCCCTCACAGCACCATCCTGCCCTCACAGCACCATCCTGCCCTCACAGCACCATCCTGCCCTCACAGCACCATCCTGCCCTCACAGCACCATCCTGCCCTCACAGCACCATCCTGCCCTCACAGCACCATCCTGCCCTCACAGCACCATCCTGCCTTGTCAAGTCAAGTAACGCGCACTCGCCTGTTCACGCCGCCCTCATCCATGTGAGTGAAATCGTCAGGCTGCAGCGATAGCAACCTGCCTGCTCTATTGGTTACACTCACTCACCCACTTCCACTTAGCAACTCATCTGCAGCCCAGCAGTCCCTGTGCACTCACTCCTGCCATACCATCCCGCTCTCCTCCCCTGTCTCGCCCCCCACTCCCCACCCTTCCGCCCGTCCGCCCGTCCGCCCCTTACGCCCCCTTGCCCCCCTTGCCGCCCCTTTCCACCTCTCTCCCTTCTGCAGTCCCTTGCGCGCCTCTTCCCCCGCCCATCGCTCTCCCCATCCGCCACGTGGCTGCCCCCCTGGCAGCGCAGGGAGCACACGCAGGGCAGAGTGCTGCTAGGGGAGGCGGGGCATGTGCTGACGGCGGCTCTTGTGCACCATACTGCAGTGCATGGGTGTGATGGTGATGTGAGTGCATGCATGGGATGTATCATCAATCAAACATACCCGTTATTGCAGTGAGCTTCACCACATTGATAGATACCACACAACTACTCTCGGGCTTTGGGCGATGGGAACATCAAGCTATGTGGGCCCCATCCAACTTAATGCACGAAATGAAGCACGAGGCCAAATCTGCAGTCAATGTGCTGCAGAGGTCATGTGTTCATGTAATAGGTTGGATTCGACCCACATAGCCCGGTGTTCCCATCCCTCACTCACCAACTCTCACTTGAAGTTTTTTCCTCTCATTGCCCTCAGCACTTTCCCTTTTCCCCCCACACTCTGTATCTTCTTTTGTTAAGCGATGGGAACATTGAGGCTATGTGGGCCCCATCCGGCCTATTGCAAGGAACACAAAGTCACTTATGCAGTTGATGCACTGCGGAGGTCACGTGTGTGGCATTGCAATAGGTTGAACTGGACCCACATAGCCTGGTGTTCCCATCCGATCCCTCACTCACAAGATAGCAGTTGACGTTCTTTCTTAGTGACACATAATATGCAGCCGGTGCCGTCTGCCCTGATATATCCTTCCCATTTCCGTTTCCGTGACCACCAAACAAACCATTCCATACCTTCCTCTCTCTCCCTTCCAACCTCCTTCCTCTTTAACTTTTTCCAACCCTTCCCTCTTACCCTCTCCCCTCCCTCCATCTACCCTTCCCCGCTTTCCCATACCCTCTTCCCCCTTCCCCACCTCCCCCACAGCACACCACATACCACACACACCAGCGCCACAGGGACATGCACCGCATCCTCATAGCCTTTGGGTCCCCACCGCCTTCAGCAGCCTCAGCGCACCCTCACCGGCCTGTCGGCACCACTAGAGCGCGCGGATTGCAGGAATCGCCTGCAGCAGCAGCAGCAGCAGCAGCAGCAGCAGCAGCAGCAGGTGCTGCTGCCAGTGGCGTCGCGGCATTCGACCTGGGAGGCCGAACCATCCCATACGGGTAAGGGACGTGAGGGATGGCGTGAGATGAGATGATGGATTGGCAGAAGTGGGCACGGGGTGTGAGGGATGGGTCTACATGCATGTGCCTTGAGACGTCCCAACATCTGATGGCATGGCAGTCAGGCAGCAGTGGGTTTGTACCAAGGTTCAAAAATACGGTAGGTGTAAATTACGGTTCGTAATTTACGATCGTAATTTACGGTGGTTTTGGCAAAAATACGGTCGTTTTTTTTATGGACTTTTTTTTTCAATTTTTTTTTTCCAAAAACTTCTACAAACCTTACATCGACGACAAGGAAGGCGAAAACACACTACACTACAGAGAAACAAGCCTACAAAGGACCTCTACACCACTACTACCACTGCTAAGCCTATCTAAGAACTACCGTTAGGTTAATCTGCCCCTAACCCCTCCCCATACTACGCATCTCTACTTCTACTCCCTCCCCACCCCACACTACACTACACGCCCCCCCCTGCCACTCCTCCTCCTCCTCCTCCTCCTCCTCCTCCTCCTCCTCCTCCTCCTCCTCCTCCTCCTCCTCCTCCTCCTCCTCCTCCTCCTCCTCCTCCTCCTCCTCCTCCTCCTCCTCCTCCTCCTCGTCCTCGTCCTCCTCCTCCTCCTCCTCCTCCTCCTCCTCCTCCTCCTCCTCCTCCTCCTCCTCCTCCTCCTCCTCCTCCTCCTCCTCCTCCTCCTCCTCCTCCTCCTAATCTAGACGCCCGCGAGCAACGTCATCCGTCATCTCCCGAATATCACGCTGCCTTGCACGCCTTGCGGGCTGCATCTCAACCGAGGTAGATGTAGAAGCACGGTTGGATCCGTTGGGTGTAGAAGCGCGCTCCCTCTCTGCGGCTTCTCGAAGCTGTTTAGCATACTCTGAGTTGCACGGCGACACGTTTTTATCTCTACCAAAGCTCCCGTAGAGGTGCTCTCTAATGCGTGTCGCATTCGGGGTCACGGTTGCTGGGCAATGGACGCATGTCGCGATGAGTTCGCCTTTTGGACCCTTCGACTTCGTAACGTGCTGCCATATCTCCGAGAACGGTCTCACCATGGTGACTAAACGTAGGTTGAGTGGAGGCTCACCAAGCCTACTAGCTAACAAGATGTTGTCGAGTGAGTTCTGGAGGCTGCTATTAGTACCTGGTTTGACTTGCTGGTGTTGTGGTGGCGAAAGGAATATCCAAAATGGATGAGATGGAAGGGATGGTGAAAGGACTATCGCTATTGGTTGGAAGGGTTTCGCAGCGCGAAATTGAGTATTGCCGCACACGCGGGCGAAAAAAACGAGCGGGTCGCGCTACGACGAAGCGAGCTGGCGAAACGGATAGAAGAGTGTTAGCCGTTCGCCAAATGTACAAAATGGCGCGTCGCACAATTTTATACATTCGCGGTTCGGCGAAATGCAGAAACGATTGTGCGAACTGGCAACAAAGGTGTTGACCGTTCGCCAAAATGCACAATGTCGCGACTCGAGATTTTGCTTCCATTCGCGGCTCGGGAAAAACACACTCGCAGTTGGGTTTGGGGCCACGATTTTCCTCACTATGAGGTAGGGTGTTGTAAATCTTGAAATTCGCTACAAATGAACTCGGTTCTAAAATTTCGATCGTAATTTACGACCGTATTTTTAAACCAACCTAATTTTGCAAGGAGGCACCGTATTTTACCGTAATTTACGACCGTAAATTACGATACCGTAATTTACGGTAAAATTCCAAAAAAACGGTCGTAATTTTGAACCTTGGTTTGTACCGGATGCACCCATTCAGACCCATGGCCCTGCTGTGCCGTGCCCCCTTCCCACCTTTTCTCCCCTCCTTGCTTCTTCACCGTTGCCTTCATGCTCCTTCACGTTTTCCTCCCCTCCCACACCTACATCTCCGTCCCACAATCTCCTCCCACAAGCTTCCTCACACACACGGCTGTCCCCCACGTCACCATTGCCACTCCCAGCTGTTGTCTCTCTCTCTCTCCACCCTCCCCGTGTCTGTGCATGTTCTTACTGCCAAATCACCTTCGTTCCCCAGATCTCGTTCCTTGTGTCCGCCAAATGTGTGCTCCCACCCACCCAACGACTGCACCCCACTGCTCCCGGGTTGATGATCAAGTTGACTTTAGCATCACCAAGCCCTATTCCCCCCCGCCTCCCCTGCCACCACAGGTTGTACTATCTGAACGTGTCGCTCTCCTCGCCTGCGCACTCCTTCTCTGTGGTCTTTGACACGGGCAGTGACATGCTGTGGGTGCCCTGTGACTGTATTCAGTGTGCCACCGACTCCTCCCTCGTTGTAAGAACAAACACAACAAACCCTCTCTGTAGGGACGAATTTTCGTTGTAAGAACATACGCATGCTGTAAGCACAAGCACTTACTGTAAGCACAAACATCGTGCAACCTCCACATTCACTCATTGTAAGCACAAACATTTGTAGCAAAGGCAACATACTCTCTTTGCTGGATAGACACCATAAATTCCGCTTTGCGCTGCAGCAGCAGCAGTGCTCTCTCTGTCCCTCGACCTGTTTCCTGTTCTCCCCTTGTCCCATCCCTTCCCTTCCCCTCTCCAGCCTCTGAGCACCCCCTATCGCCCAGACAACTCGCTCACAGCACAGCCTGTCGCCTGCAGCAGCCCTCTCTGCCCCTCTGGCCGCCCCAACATCGGTTGTGGCGTTGCCCCCAACCTCACGCGCACTCCCACCACCATCTCCCGCTCTGCTCAGCAGCCCGCCACTCCCACAAGCAGCTCAGCCTCTAATCAGCCTTTTGCTCCCAATGGGGTGGTTCCAGAGCCTCTACCGCTCTCAACCTCCTCCAATGCCTCTGATTCTCTGTCGGGCTCCTCGCCCCTGCCTGCTCCTGCTGATTGGCCCTCCCCAAGTGACACGTGTCAGTATGTGATTCGCTACGGGGATGGCAGCAGCACGGAGGGGACGCTGGTGACTGATGTGATTAACCTGAGTGTGACACAAGCGGGGGCAGGCGCAGTGGCAGCTGCCACATCAGCGTCGGCTGTGCCAGGTGGCGGTCAGCCATTGGAGGGGTCGGCAGGGAGTGGGAGCAGTGTTGTGAGCCCTCGGGTGCTGTTTGGGTGAGTGGAGCAATATTGTTCTAGAAGGTGTGATGGATGTCTCATGTCATGGCATGACGTTACATGGAATGGTGATTTTACATGGAATGATGTTACATGGCATGGTGGCATGATGTCGGCATGAATTTTGGGTGAATGAGCAACATGGTGCAAGCAAGGTTTGTCATCCCTTCTCCACCGTCCACCGCCCTCCCTCCCTTTCCTGCCCTTGTGCTGCTGTGCCCCGTGAGTATCTATCTTCTCCCTTCACTCTCCTATCGATCGCCCCCTCCTCCCCCCCCCCCCCCCCCCTCCCCGCCTCTTCCGCCGTTGCACCCACATGTGCCCTTCACTCACGCCCACCATCTCCCCTCTCCCCCGATGCTCCTCACTGTCTCAATTGTCGACGCTGTAGGCGGTCATCCTTATCAACAGCCCCGTCTCACTTGTCTCGAAAGCCAATTCCTGCACCCAACCCCACTCCTCTTTCCCCGTCCCGCACCCCCTCCCTGCCCTCTTCCCTGCTTTCATCCAGCTGCTCCTCTCTGCAGACGGGTGCCCTCATCAGCTCAGCAGCCGCTGCTCAGTGGACGGCTGCATGGACGCATGGGCTTCACTCATCTAACTCCACCCCTCTTACACCCTCCCTACCTTCATACCACCCTCCCTACCTCCATACCCCACCTACTTCCATACCCCATATCAGTTGCTCGTCCCTACAGACTGGCTCGCTCATCAGCAGCCCCTTCTCAGTGGACGGCCTCATGGGCTTTGGCTCTTGGACCTATCCCCAACCCTCTTTCCCCTTCCCCCTCCCCCCACAACCCCTCCCTCAGCTGCTCATCACTCCAAACAGGCACCCTCATCAGCAGCCCCTTCTCAGTGGACGGCCTCATGGGCTTTGGCTCCGGCCCTCGCTCCGTCATCCGCCAACTCTCCTCTCCCGCCTCCTCCACGGACTCGCCAACACAAGTGCCCGCCTCCCCTGCAGAAACACCAGCAGCAACAGCAGCAGGCACAGGCTCAGGGGCAGGAGCAGGGCAGCAGGGGGCGGTAATGCCGTTTGCCTTCTCCTTCTGCCTGGACGGAGGGGACACGGGGGGAGGCCACCTGGCAATTGGGAGATCGCGGCAACCCGCAGACATGCAGACAGCAGCACTGTGGCACGTGGATGGACTGTAAGAATTACTGTTGACATGGGTGGCAATGCCGTTCGCCTTCTGTTTGAGATGCAGACGGCAGCGCTATGACACGTGGACGGACTGTAAGTGCTGCTGATGATGCGGGCAGTGGTAATACCATTGCATTCTCCTTCTGCATGACGGGAGGGGGGAGACGAGGGCCGGTGGGAGACAGCAGCAACCTGCTGAGATGCAGACTGTTGCACTGTGGCACGTGAACGGACTGTCATTGTTGTTGACGTGGATGGATTGTGAAAGCTGCTGATGTGGCAGGACTAGGAGGCTGCTGACATGGCAAATATAGGCGTTGTGAGGAAGTAGATGACCATGTGCACAACTTCATTCTCCTCATTATCTGTCACTCTCATCATAATTCCTCACTCTAGCACACAAGCAGGATGTGTTTCTCCTGTTGAGCTTTGAGGCGGCTCAAAATGCAAGATTTGTTATTCCGCTCTCCCTCATTCTCCTCTTCATCATTTCTCTCTCTCCATTCCCCTCTCTCCCTCCTCCCCCACGTGCACGTGTATCACCCAGGCCATACCATTACATCAACATCACCAAAATGAGCATTGGAGGTCGCCAGGTGGTGGGTGCTGATTCGCTGTCAGCAGTGGACTCTGCCAGCCTGGCAGGCGGCGTCATCATTGACAGCGGCACAACCTTCACTGCGCTGCCGCCCGCCGTCTACACCTCGCTAAAGGATGCGGTGAGCTGCGGTGGGATGTGGTGTGAGCTGCAGTGGAATGTGGTGGAATGTGGTGGGGTGAGAAGTGCCAAGGTGGTTCGGTGGTTTGCATGGAAGTCCTTGCTTGAAAATGTATCTCACTGTGTTGAGAAGTGCCAATCTCACTTCGCTGCCTTCTGTTATCAAAAGCCCTTCTTTCCTCGCAGCTCTATTGTTCCCCCCAACCCTCTTTTACTCCCTTCTTCCCTCTTCCCTTATATCTCTCACTCCCCGCTCTGAAATTCATTCTGCTTTCCTCCTTGACTTGGTGTTGCACCCCTCTTGCTGTCCTGTCTCTTGCTGCCCCGTGTCTTGCTGCTGCAAGCAGGTGTTCTCAGACCCGCTTCTCTCTGCCTTTCCTGATCCCACCCTCGGGGATTGCACCCTCTTTCCCAGGTGCCCGTACAGCACCCACTTAAGTATCCGTAAAATAATCAAATGCCCGTTTTCTTGAAGCGTCTATTTCTTTTGATATCAAAAGTCCAACTAGACCAACGTATCCGTACATCAACATTTTACAGCATGGCTTGTTGTCTACTGCCTTATCCTCCCACATCTTCTCCCTCTCTTTTTCTCTGTCTTCATTTGAATCTGCCAGCAACGCCACACTTTTCGACTCGGTCTTTCCGAACCTCCTCATCAGCCTTGGCAACACGACCTGGGCCGTGCCAGCCACCAACTACCTCTTCCTTGGCGTGAGTCCATTCATCTTTGTACACGTTTAAAAGCTCTACTACGTCATAAATCTGGTTGAATGACTGCAAATGGAACTTGGGAGTAAGTGTGTCTTCCCTCCCCCCTTACTCTCCATTTCATTGTTTTTATTCCACACTATTTGAAGTCCTAATACGTGAACACATTTAAGTAGAACTCCAATATTATCCGCTACCTTCAAATATGATTCAGGCTGAATCATAATTTATTGCAAGTGCAACTGTCACTTCTCTCGGTTCAACTTTTCAGCCCCCTCTATACCGTTTCCTCTGCCTACTCATTCACCCCGTCCCCTTTCACCCCTACCTCTACCGTTTCACCTTCGTGACTCCCCCCTTTTCTGTCCCCGCCCCCTTCTCTTCCCCTTCCTTGTCCTCCTCTCTGTTTTGCCTCTTATCCCTCCATCTTTCTCACACTCTTCTCTCCCTCTCTCCTTGCCTTCCTCCTCCACTCTCCCCTTACCCTTGTCTTCCTCCCCCTCTCTCCCTTCATCTTCCTCGTCCCCTTCCCTCAACCCCACAGGGTTTCATGGAGCGCACAGGCCAGGCTTTACTTTGCTTGGCAGCCCTCCCCATTTCCTCCTCGCGTGTTTCCGCCATCATTGGAGGTGCGCTCCCAAGCAGGATAACCATGAAACCATGTAACGGTGTCACGGCGCAACCTTCTTTCCTTGCTTCTGTTATTGGTGCATGCCTGGTTCCATCCCCCATTACCGCCAGCACATCCGACAGTGTCCGTTCATTGCGAGTCTTATGGCCCTGTTCCTCCTCCTTCATGCCTCACGCCTCCCCATCCTGACAACCATGCTCCTTTCCTCCTTTGCTCACGCACCCCCACCCCCCACCCTCCCCCACTTCTCCCCATCCCGCACAACACCCTAGAGTCGTGGCTGCAGAACTTCTACGTTCTCATGGATGAGGAGAGAGGGCTGTTCGGCTGGCACCCCCTCAACTGTGAGTCATGCCACCCCCTCAACTGTGAGTCATGCCACCCCCTCAACTGTGAGTCATGCCACCCCCTCAACTGTGAGTCATGCCACCCCCTCAACTGTGAGTCATGCCACCCCCTCAACTGTGAGTCATGCCACCCCCTCAACTGTGAGTCATGCCACCCCCTCAACTGTGAGTCATGCCACCCCCTCAACTGTGAGTCATGCCACCCCCTCAACTGTGAGTCATGCCACCCCCTCAACTGTGAGTCATGCCACCCCCTCAACTGTGAGTCATGCCACCCCCTCAACTGTGAGTCATGCCACCCCCTCAACTGTGAGTCATGCCACCCCCTCAACTGTGAGTCATGCCACCCCCTCAACTGTCAGTCATGCCACCCCCTCAACTGTGAGTCATGCCACCCCCTCAACTGTGAGTCATGCCACCCCCTCAACTGTGAGTCATGCCACCCCCTCAACTGTGAGTCATGCCACCCCCTCAACTGTCATTTCCTCCTTTGCTCGGTTGGCTATTGCTGTCTGTGCATTGGAGAGTATGTCCTTGTCATTCTCCCTGCCTGTGTCCTCTTCTTTTCCTTTCAACCCACACCTGCAGGCTCTACAGGCCAGGAGCTTTTCCGAACGTCACTTCCGCAAGGTGCTTCCTTTGCCTTTCCTGCCTAGTGCTTCCTGTCGTCCCGCTCACCTGCCCTTGCTCTTCACTTCACAACCCATGAATGTGGTTCGAGGTCGATTTCCGCTTGTGGTTACCACCAATGCCACGAGCCGGGCTTGAATAGCAGGTCTCACTTCACGCATTCTAGTCTTCATTAACTCTGGTATATGGAGTTGACTTTTGGGTCGACTCGGAAGTTGACTCTGTTACATGCTGCTGACGAGGTCCTTGGTTTTCTTCCTTGCCATCCCTCTCTCTTTCTGTGATGACATTCTCTTCCCTCCTGCTCCCTCGCTTCCTCCCTTCCTCCTTTCCCTCTCCGTCTCGTCCATTCTCTTCCCCCCCTTCTCCCCCTCCCCCTCCCCCTCCCCCTCCCCCTCCCCCTCCCCCTCCCCCTCCCCCTCCCCCTCCCCCTCCCCCTCCCCCTCCCCCTCCCCCTCCCCCTCCCCCTCCCCCTCCCCCTCCGCATACTTGTATTGTGGTCATACCAGAAGGCAACCCTGCACCTGCCACACGCAACACCACAGCACCCAGCCGTGGGCATGGGCCAGGTGAGAATCTTCTTGAGAATGCTTAGTCACTCCAATATAGCCAGGTGAGTGGGGCTATGGGCAGGTGAGAGGGGCCATGGGCAGGTGAGATTGAGCAGTTGAGCTCACTGTGACGTGCTTATAGCACGCTGTGTGACACCCTGTGATTCGCTACAACTGCAAGCATGTATTAGCACGCTATTGTAGCACACTGTGCTGCTCTCTCTCTTTTGGGCCATCGTCCCACCCACCCACCCTAGAGCCCTGTTTTTGCTGTGTGAAGGCTGCAGGTACTTCAATTTGTCCCACTCCGTACCTCTTCCCCTTCCCTCAATCCCTTCCATTACAGTGTCTTTGATCCTTTTCCCACTCCACTCCACTCCATCTCCATCCTCTGCTTCCTCACAACCTCTCCGTCCACGTCAATCTCTTTCTCCCCGTCATCCCCACTTCCTCCTGCAGAGAGTGTGCGCCCGTCGAGTCCAAGTCAAGCCTCAGAAGGTATGTGTGCAGCCTGGTTGCTTGTTTTCTGAGAAATACTGGGACGTGCTTTTACTGGAGGGGTGTGGGGGATCAAAGCTGAGGAGAGAGTGCAGAGGATTGGAGGGGAGCCGTGCATTGCTTGCCATGCCCCACGAGCTTGGTGCATACATTGCTTTACTTGAAACTTGCTACTGAAGGGATAATCTAGCACTCCTGGGAATCACAGCACCCTTGTCTCTCTTTTCACCCAAACTACTGTGCTGGCGAGCTATCATTGACATATGATGTTTTCCACTGAATCACTGAATGTTCTACCACCCTTGTTCCTCTTTCACCTTCGGTTTGCTGAGCAGGCGAGCCAACGTCGACATCCGAGGCAAAGGGTACGTCTGGTTGGGAGCACCTATGTGTGGAGCCCCGCTCGATTTTGCAGCCCACTTCTTGTCTTGCTACGTCACGCCACAGACCTTCAGCATGTGCAAACTTGTGGCAGCGATTTTGGTGCTGCCAAACCTTTTTTAGTTCAGTTGTGGCTTTGCTGAGTATATTTCTTTACCATGGTTCTTCTCTGCAGGTGCAATGGCTACCAACAGCAGGGCCGAAACTAATCTACATCTACTCGTGCTGCTTGTTCTGTTGGTATTGGTGGTTGAGATGTAGCTCATTCTGCTACTAATGTCATCTTCCAGTGTTTTTATACAGGCTTAACCTTGATATGTAGCGTCCTGTAATGAACCAAGAACCCTAACAAATAAATGCTCAGATACAGCTGATGCTCACCCCATGCACGCGAATTTGCCTTGCGCCGGATGGATACGCTGCACCCGAGGTTGTTTCCCCAGCTTCATGCACCTACATTACAAGCGCGTCGCGTGGTTATCAACCAGTAGTAACGAACAGACCGACGTCAAACTAGGTACAGACCGAAGTCAAGCAGAGGAGACTGAAGTCAAACTAGGTTACAGATCTTGTTTATAAGCACATGCGAATCATTTTTAGCTAGCTGCGAATTGCCGAAACTTATGCGAAATGCTCGTGACAGCTTATACGCCCCCTTCGTAAGGCAACCGGGAGGGGCTCAAACAGGCATCAGGTGTATGACGAGAATGCTGACGGAAAATTGGCCAACACATGAATCGCGTGAGAGCCTTTCTTCGCGTATAAAGATTCATGGCCAGGGATTGTACCGCGGACACGACATCCAGTGATTTTGAACTGACATTCAGATCGTAGCCACATATCACGTTACGAAATTCATTCCCCGGCCTTTCCTCTCGCCCTTGCGCCTCTCGTCGGTCTCCCACCCCGCTCGCCCCTCGTTCCCCGCGAATTCCCATCGCCCCCCCACGCGCCTCGCGCCTGCCCCACTTCTTTTCCCCGCCTTCCACGCGGTCGCGTCGTCTGATCTTCCGCCTCCTTCCACGCGGATCGCCCCGCCCGCGCGCCTCGCTCCTTCCCCTCTCCGTTCACTCCCCCCCCTCCGCTCCGCCTGCTTTCGCTTCCCCGCACGTCCTGCTACGCTGGTGACTGGCGGAGGTGCTGACTGGCGGAGGTGCTGACTGGCGGAGGAGCTGTTTAGAGGGGCGTCAAAGGCACGAGAAGAGTGGAGCGGAGGGCGCGGTGAGTGGGTATAAAGGGTTGGCAGTCCACTGGCGGTGTTTTGTTGAGAATTCATTTTGAGACGTTTCTTATTTCTGAGCACTGTGAGTGGGTAGGAGGTAGGCAGTCCGACGACGGGAGCAGGTGAAGGGGGAAGGGAGAGGGGAGAAGGGGGGTGTGTGCCGGAGTGGTGGGGTGGGGATGGGGGCGGAGAGGAGAGAAGGGAGAAAGGAGGCAACTGAAGGGGGAAGGCTAAACAGGGGAGGGAGTCCGATACCTAGTGAGCGAATGGGTTTGCGAGGGCCCTGAGAGACCACCCTTGCACCTCACTGGGCCTGTTCGCGATGTCTGCGCAGCTGCCCTCTCCCCACCCCCGCCCGGCCCACCCTCGCTATACTCCGCTCTCCAATAATCGACACCTTTTAGGAGCCACCTTTCGTCCCACCCACGTTCACACGGATATGCGTGTAGGTTTCATCAGGAATCGTCTGTTGCGAGCTTGCCATATGTCCCATGCACCCGCTCCCCCTAACCCCGCTTCCTCCCTGTCCTGCGCGCTCTCATGGTAGCAGGACGCGAGGCGCAGGGCACAGGGCGCAGAGGGGGAAAGTGCAAAGCAGGGGCGCAGGGCGCGGGGTGCAGGCGGGCTGGTATGGGGGGCTCAGATGGGAGGTCATCACCGCAGGAGCAGCAGGGCGAGGATGCAGCGCAGGGAGGGGGGCGGTCGCTGCAGCAGGTGGAGGAGGAGGCGAGGGCGCAAGTGGACCCGTCTGCGTTCCTCATCCTCCTCAACTGCGCGTCTCCAGGCGTTCCCGAGGAACAGGTGGGTGGTTGATAAGAGCGAGGGTGGATGGGAGAGGGGCAGGTGGGTGGGAGAGGATCAGAGTGGGAGAGGAGCAGGTGGGTGGGTGGGAGAGGGGCAGGTGGGTGGGTGGGAGAGGGGCAGGTGTCTTCCTCTCCTATGTCCCGGTTGCCTCACCACCCTCCCTCCCTGCGTTTCGGGCGGTGCACTTCTCACCCCGCTTCCATCAAATGTCATCATGAATTCTCCTATCCCTTTCCCCTCCTCTCCCCCCTCCCCATTTCTGCCAGCTAGCAGTGCACTTCTCATCGCGTTTCAACCGCAGGCCACACCCCAACAGCGCGCTTGAGAAGATGATGCACACAGTGAGTGGTGGAGTGTGGTGGTCGGTGATCGGTCGTGGTGGGATGCGGTGTGAGTTGACTCTAACACAACTCTTCAACCGCAGGCCCCACTGCACAACACAATGCTTTCAATTCACATCCATACACTCAGCACCCTCGCATGATCGCATACGTATTCCCCTCACCTCAACCCCCCTCCCCCCCTGCCTCTTCCCCACCTCCCCCCATCTTCCCACACGCGTGGCGATGGCAGGAGTGGCAGAGGCGCAAGGCACATCAGCCATCGCTGTACAATGGGTCCAAGTTCCGAGTGAGTCCCTTGTGTTGTGTCTTGGCTGGACCTTTGTCTTGGCTGGACCTTTGTCTTGGCTGGACCTTTGTCTTGGCTGGACCTTTGTCTTGGCTGGACCTTTGTCTTGGCTGGACCTTTGTCTTGGCTGGACCTTTGTCTTGGCTGGACCTTTGTCTTGGCTGGACCTTTGTCTTGGCTGGACCTTTGTCTTGGCTGGACCTTTGTCTTGGCTGGACCTTTGTCTTGGCTGGACCTTTGTCTTGGCTGGACCTTTGTCTTGGCTGGACCTTTGTCTTGGCTGGACCTTTGTCTTGGCTGGACCTTTGTCTTGGCTGGACCTTTGTCTTGGCTGGACCTTTGTCTTGGCTGGACCTTTGTCTTGGCTGGACCTTTGTCTTGGCTGGACCTTTGTCTTGGCTGGACCTTTGTCTTGGCTGGACCTTTGTCTTGGCTGGACCTTTGTCTTGGCTGGACCTTTGTCAGCCTGGATTCTTGAAAGTAGGATGGTGGTGTCGTGAGACTCTGCGCTCTTTATATTTTTGGTTTACAAACACCCTCGCTGTGAACCTTGTCGTCGCTCTGCCGTACCATGCGTGACGCACCATGCGTGACGCACCATGCATGACGCACCATGCATGACGCACCATGCATGACGCAACATGATTATGCATAACACACCATGCATAACACACCATTCAAGGCCCACCATGCACAGCCCTACACACTCGAGAACTTGAAACCCCTCCCACCTCATCACAACACATTCCCTCCAACCCTCCCCTACCTCCCAATTTCCTCGCCCCCCAAGCCCCAATCAGAATGAGATTTTTTTTCTTTGCAGCCCCAATCCTTGACTCCCTGTGACTTTCGATTCCACTCAGAGGTTCCCCCTTTTTCCGCCCGCACCCGTTGCCCCCACGCCCCAATCCTCGTGCCCCCACGCCCCAATCCTCGTGCAATCATGCGCACCTCAGTATGGCGGGTTCTCAGTGCATCCACATCCTTCGCCCCGCACTTTCAAGCCCATTTCCTCCCTTTCCTCCCCTTCTTCCCCCCTCCCCGCCTTCCCCCCCTCCCCCCCCCCCCCTCCCCCCCTCCCCCCTCCCTCTCCCCTGTCTGCACTTGCCTTGAACTCCCCTATCCATGCCCGTATGCACTTGCCTTGAACTGCCCTATCCATGCCCGTATGCACTTGCCTTGAACTGCCCTATCCATGCCCGTATGCACTTGCCTTGAACTGCCCTATCCATGCCCGTATGCACTTGCCTTGAACTGCCCTATCCATGCCCGTATGCACTTGCCTTGAACTGCCCTATCCATGCCCGTATGCACTTGCCTTGAACTGCCCTATCCATGCCCGTATGCACTTGCCTTGAACTGCCCTCTATCCATGCCCGTATGCACTTGCCTTGAACTGCCCTCTATCCATGCCCGTATGCACTTGCCTTGAACTGCCCTATCCATGCCCGTATGCACTTGCCTTGAACTGCCCTATCCATGCCCGTATGCACTTGCCTTGAACTGCCCTATCCATGCCCGTATGCACTTGCCTTGAACTGCCCTATCCATGCCCGTATGCACTTGCCTTGAACTGCCCTATCCATGCCCGTATGCACTTGCCTTGAACTGCCCTCTATCCATGCCCGTATGCACTTGCCTTGAACTGCCCTATCCATGCCCGTATGCACTTGCCTTGAACTGCCCTATCCATGCCCGTATGCACTTGCCTTGAACTGCCCTATCCATGCCCGTATGCACTTGCCTTGAACTGCCCTATCCATGCCCGTATGCACTTGCCTTGAACTGCCCTCTATCCATGCCCGTATGCACTTGCCTTGAACTGCCCTCTATCCATGCCCGTATGCACTTGCCTTGAACTGCCCTATCCATGCCCGTATGCACTTGTCAGTATGGCGGGTTCTCGTTGCAGCCCCCATCCTCCGCCACCTGCCCCTCGGCTGCTGCTGCTGCTGCTGCTGCTGCTGCTGCTGCTGCTGCTGCTGCTGCTGGGGCATCAGAATTGCCTCAAGGGTCAGAAGCAGCAGAGCGAGGTGTGCAGGGCAGCCCACGTGTGTGCCTGCACCTGGGTCTCACGGATTACAAGTGAGGAAAATGGGGGAGAGGGGAGAGTGGGGGGAGAGAGGGAGAGGGGGAAGATGGGGGAGAGAGTGGGGGGGTAAGAGGGGGGGGGGAAGGGTGTGAAATCCAGAGGAGGCAGGGGAAGGGGGACTCCAGGGAAGGGGAATTCCAGTATGCACCTGGGCCTAACGGACTACAAACAAGTGAGGAAGGAGGGAAGAGAGGGGATAGGGGTTGGCAGCGGGAGTGGGTATTCAGCATGCACTTGGGTTGGGCCTCACGGACAGCAAATAATTATCCAGTTTGTGTCTGCATGTGTGCCGATGTGTGTGCGTACATGCGTGCATGCACTTGGGCCTTAACGGGGGGAATTGTTAGGAATGGGTGGGGGGGGGGGCACGGGGACTGTCAGAGAGAAATGAGCGTTTCAACTAAGAACTGAGGCATGATGTGGGTGGGGGCATGCCTTGGCTTGCGGACAGCTTGAAATATCAGGACATGAGGTGTGAGGGGGGAGGTAGGAAATGTGGAGGACTTCAAGAATGGCCAATCAGCTCTGTGCTGGTTTTGGTCTAACAACTCATCCAAGTGGGCTGGTCTGTTTCGTGAGTCGTCTCAAAAAACACCTGGTTGATTGACAGCATTCCAACCAGGTGGGCCGGATTGGAACGCAGCCAAGCTTGATTGGGGCGCCTCAATCACGAAGGCTGGTGGGGAGCCTCATATGGTGAACCAGTTTGATTACTAATAATAAGCTGACTTGTCAATGGTGAGCACGTGGGCTGCTGAAAAACACTACACGCCACATCCAACCATGCAGGTGTTTGTCTTCTAGGATTTCTTTCCCATCACCCCCTCCTCATCTCCCCCCAACACCCCATCATCTCTCTGTCCTCGCTCTTCTCACCTTCCACTTCTCACCTCTCACCTCACCTCTCACCTTACCTCTCACCTCTCGTGGCCCCATCAGGAGCCTCATCACAACAAACCTCTGCTCCGACTGGCAAAGCTTCCTCGCACCCCCCCTCTCTAGCAGCACTGCTGCCAAGCGCCTCAGAACAACCGAGGGGACGGGCAGCAGAGGGACAGGAGGAGCAGACGGGGCGGCTGGTGAGGAGGGGGGCGGGGAGGGAGCGAGCAGGGAGGAAGCAATGGAAGGGGATTCCAGGGAGTGTGGTGCTGGCGATGGGGCTCACTCCTCTAAGGTGGCTCAACATGGCCATGCTACTGCTGCTGTTGCTTCTCACACTGCTGACCTTGCTACTGCCACCGCCTCTGCTGCAGCTGTCTCTGAAAGCACATCCACCACCATCAGCCCCACCGGGGTCCCTCACTCCCATGAGTGTCCCCATCGAACGGAAGAGCCTGCTGAACGCATGGGTGCATGTGCCACGTGTCAGCAGGCCATAGGCCAGCGCGACGCGCAAGCATGCCAGCACATGGGGGATGCGCTGGGGAATGCGGCGCTGGTGGTGACGGCTGATGGCTGCTTCCTGCTGCTGCAGCGCGGCACGGCTGTGGGTGAATTCCCAAATTGCCCGGTTTTCCCTGGAGGACACCCGGAGGTAACACCACTCACACGCCCTTTATTCACGCACCTCATTCCATGCACCCATCGTTCATCCTAAGCCATCCCAACTCCTCTTTTTCTGTCTCTCTTCCAAACCTTGCCTCGCTCCTCTCGCTTATTTCTATCCCTCCTTTCTCTCTCCTCTCTCTCCCTCCCCACCACTGCAGCCATCAGAAGCAGGCATCTCTGCCACTCCGTCATCTTCCCCCACCCAACCCCCCTCTGTCGATCCCCACTCCTCCACCACCCCTGCCTCTCCCCCGCTCTCTCCTACCGCCTCCCCTTCCTCATCGCCCTCTCTTCTCAACGCCACCATCGCACATGAGATGTTTGAAGGCATGAAGAGGGAGGTGGAAGAGGAAACAGGCGCCCCTGCTGACTCGCTGGTAAGCTTTCCTCCTCACCCCTTCCCCCCCGCACTCTCTCCTCGTACACATTCGCTCTCACACTCGCTCTCGCCCCCGATCCTACCAATTCATCGCTCAACGCCACCATCGCACATGCGATGTTTGAAGGCATGAAGAAGGAGGTGGAGGAGACAGGCGCCCCTGCTGACTCTCTTGTGAGCTCTCGTCTCGTCCCATGTCGCTCTCTCACATGCTCTCCCTCTCGCACTCGCACTTGCTCTCTCACCCTCTCCCTAGAATCCACTCCCTCACTGTTTAGATGCAAGGTCAGCAAGCTCTCACCTCACCGTTCCTCACCATGCGTCTCTAACCCATACAATTCCCTGTGCCTTCCCAACACCCTCTCCCCCACTTCTCTCCCCCCAGCACCGCATGCTCTTCCGGGGTCTGTGCAGGCGCAGAGAGAACATGCATTCACTCAATATGCACCGGTCCCATGCTTTCTTCTGTGCCTCTCTCCCCCTCCCTCACCCCTCTCTTTTCCCCCCTCTGCCCTGCCCCACTCTCACCATGTTCGCCTGCCACTAGTCTCTTACCATACACTTTGCTGCTTCTCCCCTCCCACCCTCCCCTCCCTTCTCTCCTCCTATCCACAGCACGGCATGCTATTCCTGGGGCTGTGCAGGCGAAGGGAGAACGTGCGATCGCTCGCCATGTTTCTCTGCCACACCTCGCTCACGGCTCCAGAGGTGCTCACTCGCTACGCCTCTGCGCAGCACAAGTTCGAATCCACTAGCCTCCGAGCCGTGCCACTGGTAGGTGGGAGGATGTGCTGGTATGCCATGCCACCCCCTCTTTGCCTGCGCCTCTGCGCAGCACAAGTTCGAATCCACCAGCCTCAGAGCCGTGCCACTGGTATGAAAGGGATGTGCTTGTATCCAGATGTGGGCGAGGGGGGGTAAGGGGGCTTTGCTGATAAGGGGAGATTCTTGAGCATGACTAGTGATGTCTCTGGGTCATGTCATGGTTGCATGTTAGCCCCTCTCTCACCACACCTTTGCACAGCACAAGTTTGTGAGTGCATGTCCTGAAGCTATGCTCCGAGGCTGTACCCCAAGCATATGTCCCGAGGCTGTGCCCCAAGCATATGTCCCGAGGCTGTGCCCCAAGCATATGTCCCGAGGCTGTGCCACGAGCTGTCTGCACAGCCCTGACAGCACAATAGGCGCATCTTTCCGTAGTTGTCCCCATTCCTCCTCTCACTAGCCTGAGCCTTCACTCGCTGCCAGCATCCCACCCTATCAACCCCCATCTCCTCCACGGCCCCTGCATTGGTTTTGGGTTAGGCTGGAAAATCAGAGTTCACTAGCAAATTTACACTGGAATTCAGCCAAAAATGTCATTTTAAATCTAAGACCACTAGAAAATCACCGACTTTTTTTGGGAAAAGGCTGACGAATCAGCTTTAGTATCTAAGGGGCTGACAAATCAGCTGAAAAAAAGGCTGAAAAAGGGCAGAATCTGCTTAAAACGGCTGAAATCTAGAGGGCCGCCTCCACCATACCATCTCTTTTTTATCCCCATCATATTTCCCCTCCTACCACGGCACCCCCCTTGCAGGCTGCATTGCTGACGGAGACACGCTCCATGCCAGGCTGTCACATGGGCGGTGCTGTGCTGGCATACTGCCACCTCACCATGCATGGCCATCTGTCGGCCACGTAGCCAGCCATGCGTGTAACCCCATGCGTGTACCGCCCATGCTTGTAACCCCATGCATGTAACCACCAATGCGGAAACCGCCCATGAATGAAAGGTTTTATGCGTGCAACCATGGATGTAATCAAACTATGTGTGCTAGCAAACCATGGATGCAACAGCCACAAGCATACTTGGTGGTATTGGAGAGGTTTAAAGGTAATATGAAGAAAGGCTATCAATCCACCTGTAAATCAACTCTGCGTCAAAATCATTTCAGTGGAGAGTGTAAAAGAAGCTGCGTTTCTAATGACTGTCGTGTCAGATATTATACCGTAATAAGATGTACATTCTAACAGGAACAACCCTAACCTAACTATAGGTTGTGTTGAATGCTTATTGGCAGTACCGTAATTGACTAACACACTAGTAGTATGTTTCAACAACCCCAAGTTTATGCTATCTGACAATGTGACCCACACACTAGTATGTTGCATGCTACTTCAAACCCTCATTCTGTTGCACTAACCCCCAAACTAAAGGGGGGCAATCCTCGATGATAGGAGCTTTTAGAACAACCAACAAGGTGAGAGCAACCCATAGCAGGAGCACATCAGTTCAAACGGTCTGCATCCAATCAAATTGTCTGCGCGAGATCGGACAACCAGCATGAGAATAAAGTGGTAGAGGAGAGCTGTACAGCAGCAGTCACTGGGCAGATTAATATTCCCATTCCCCATTTCGCCCCTCCTCATCAGGAGCCCCACTGGCTTGCGCAGATGCTCATGTGTCAAGTCCTGGTGTGTCTATGCTCACGTGTTGTGGGTCACACCGAAGTCACTTCAGGCCTATCGAGTTCTGTCGTCTACTCTCCCACCCACTCCTCTGATCTTCTCTTCCCATTCTCCCTCTTCCCGTGCCCCAACACCACTCACGGAATCTGCACCAGCCAAAAAAAAGCAGCAGCCTGAGTTCAGTCAAGTATAGTGTAAATAGGATGTCATCAACTATCATCCTCTAGCGCCTAGTGATTGCATGTGAGTTGCAACAAAGAGATACCAAACACTAAAAATCATGCGATTGCGACATTGTCAACATTCCAACGGACTCACAACCCCACTGAGATACTCCTACTGTAAGGCATGGGACCAGCAGCTCATGGAAGGCTCACGGTGAGCATGCATCAGCTGAGGTGTGACTCAAACTGAACAGCTGGAGTGCATAGTTGGGATGGCGGACATACTAGAATCATCAAACATAAGAGAGATGTGTGTGATGTTTTTTTCCTTCTTACGGACAGTGGAGATGGTACACGTTCAGGTGTCCCCTCCCCCACACACGTGAGCCACATGTTGGAGAAAGACAAGTCATAAGAACAATGTGCTGTGCTGGTGTGCTCACCTCTTCAGCATGAAAGGCCCACTTTTGGGAATCAATGTTCTCAATCTTCTCAGTGTGTGGCAAGATCTGGCATATCCTGTCAGGAAACACCCCCAGCAGCCGCATCTGTACTTCCGGGTGAGAGAGCTCCACCTGGCAGCCGGGGCAGGACAGGTAGCAACTGAGATATGTTTGGACTGGTCAAAAGCAAGAATTACACCTAAGAAGAGAGTGATTGGATGGTACATATATCCAATAACCTTCAGACAATGTACCACCATTTAATGGAAGTGTAAGCAAATGAGAAATGACTTTCCCAGGTTAAGAGGCTCACGTGCTGCTACAAGGTAAGCTCATGTTGAAAATTGCAGCTCTCTGGAGTGCTTTCTAGAGATACTTTAACCAGCATTACCTTTGTCTTCAATTGCGCAAGCACATCTGCGACCGTAAATTGCCGGTAGAGCTGAATTTTGTGCATTGACACCTGAAAACCAACAATCTCAAACAAAGAGGAGAACAGAGAGGGAACATTTCAAGGTGGGCATGAGCAGGTCCCGTCTCAGCTTCAGGTAATCCGGCCAAATTTCAGCTTTGGTTGAACCAAGAGGCTGCCATGGACAGTTTGAATGCACTTGAAAGTTCAAATTTGTGGCTTGACAATAGTCAATGCACCCACACGTGTATGTAAGTCTACTTATTGAATAGATTTAAGAAGTTAATACTTAAAATTGAAAGATCCGTGATAGTAGAGTAAAAAAAAAAAAGGACCAGTCACACGGGGTGAAGAGAAATAGAGGTGTAATGGCAAGTGTAGGCCATCTGTGATGCAAAAAAAGCAACCCGACTGACAAGACCTTTGTGCTTGCGCCTCCCATACCGATACTTTGCTCCCACCTTGTTTCCCTTGTCATGAAATGTAACATCGAGAGTCGCAATTGTCGCGAGTTTCTCCAGCTCTGGCAGTGGCACATCGAGCATCTCAAAGTAGAGAATGCTTGATGTCTGAGAAATGGGGCTCGGAGGAACAGAAAGAAATGCCCTTTTAAGTATGCCACATAGCCTATGCTTGTCTTGAAATTCAGAGCATGCCTGAAGTCTGAAGCCACAGGAAAGAGCACGAGGTTGATAACTGTGGAGTTATGATACACACGGGCTGCCAATCCCTCTATACTATGGTCACACATTTTCCGCATATTAGCATCGTTCAAAAGGCCTACCTATACAGGCTGTCCGTGTATTTACCTGATCGACGTGGGCAAGCATGTCACCAAGGCACTCCGCCCCCCGGTACTCGATGGGGGGCAGCCTGGGCTGCAGTGAGTAGCAGTTGTGTGCGGTGAGTCGAATCTTGGAAGAATCGGCTACTCCAAGCTTCTCTGCTAGTCGCTCCACCACTTTGTCATACGTGTCCTCCTCAGAACTGAGCAAACGATAAGACAAACCGTTGATAAGAAGGCGTTTTGGGGAAATTCTCGAAGACACTCCTGCGTGTCCCGATTGGAATCTGAGTGAATGAACAAAAAAATTACAGCGGAAGGACATGTTTTGGGAAATCAAGACACACTCAGGCCTTCATGCCATCTCCTGTTCAGAATTGAGCGAGTGAGCAGATAACACGCAAGGAAACGTTGTGCTAAAGCCGGCAGCCCAAATTGCACAACCTTTAAAAGGTTGACGCGACGGGGTTTTGTGGTCTGGGTTTTGGCGAAAAAAATCCGAATCCGTTTCTTTCGTTTTTTTCGCCAAACCCAGCCCCCCCCTCATATTTCGCCCTGGGGGTAGTTCCCGAAGTCCCAAAATGCAGGCTCATTTTTTTTCAAAGCTGGCAAACACCAGTTCATCAAGTTTTAAAAGGTTGACACGCGCGGCCCGCAATTTGGGCCGCGGGCTTTAAGTACAGCCAGCCAAGCTCCTCTGCGAGACCACTAGCGAAGGAGTACTTATAGATTAATGTGACAAGTTGAGGACAAGTACAAGTTTTTTTTTTTTTTTTTTTTTAATACACAACTTACAGCAGCAAGCAGAACGCGTCTTCCCTTCGATTTTCCAAGCGCCGGAAGTGCACCACTTGCTGGGTCTGCACAAACTTGTCAAACGAGGGCACATCCAGGTGCTTCAGACCGCTTTTCTGTGCTACGGTGAGTGCCTTCTGCACCCACAGAATGACGGCCTCCTTCAACTTCATGCCTTCAAAGGTGGATGCGTTATCGATGGGCTTACACTCCACATTCATGCCAACGTTCCTCTCCTAAAGGGGTGGGTGAGTGACAAAGGGGAGTGGGAGGGTGGGGGGTGGGGCAATGTATCCACGTTTGACAAATGTATAGGTTGATGGTCATCTCAAAATTTGAATCTTAAGGAAGAGGGTAAGGGGCAATGAGTGAGGTAAACGAATGATGACGAAGGGAGAGAGGGCAATCGGAAAGTTAAGGGCAAGAGAAAGATAGAAGAACGAGAGACGACATGAGGGAGAGTGAGAGGGGAGAGGTGTGATAGACTGCTTAACGTTGGTTCCTTCGCCCAACAGTCACTTCCCGCCACAAACCTCAAATAGCAAGACGTCCTTGTTGGCAGCAAGGCCACAGATCTCTTTGATCCTCTCGAGCACATCTGCAGGCTTCTTGTCGGGCCTCACAACGAGATGGCCTGCATAGCTGCGATGGTGGGAGCAGGGAGGAAGAGGATTCAGAAAAAGACAGGCCACTTTTAAGAATGTCAAATGACAAGGCTACAGATAAGGCGAGTCAAGAGAGGAAGTGATGAAAGGAGGAAGCTTAAAGCATGATTTGAAGGACAATCGTGCATACAAATCGAAACTTGATGCTGAAACTGAAACGCTGGCTAGTATACATACCATCTGCTCTGCAAACCTCCCAGCCAGCATGTACCTAATAGCGCTGTGCGTCGGATCGTAGAGCTTGAGGAATAGCAAAATATCGTCCTTATTCCTCCCCTGCAAAAGAGCAACAAGTGAGTCCTTGTCTATTAACTTGTGGAGAGGAGTTTTACTTTTGAGAATTCTCAAAAGTAAAATTCAAGTGAGTCCTTGTCTATTGACTTGTGGAGAGGAGCCCTGGAAGTACCAATGAGTGCCTTAAGACTTTTTGCAACTTGAATCGAGCCTATAAGGCCAAGCAACCAAGGACCCGCTATACACCAAATCAAGGCCAGCCAGGAACCAGAACTTCATACCGGAGGAAACTGGAAGTTCGGATAGGTGGAAATGGAAAAAGCGATGGAAATCAAGTAATGGTCGAACCATTAAAAGACAGCTTCGTCATTCATAAATGTGGAAATATAGCACTAATACGGTAGATAGTTTTGAATACACCCCAGGGAAGATATGCAAGATCCAAGGTAAGATTGATTCACTGTGAATTCAGGGTGACACTAGCTAAGGCAATGGATAGATGGGAGATGAAATTCGGCAGAAGTATGCAGTTAAGGACGTGTGTGAAATTATTTTTTATGAAAGTTCATGTTTTTGACTCGATTTTAGCAGGTCTTGATAACCTGAACTTGACTCGATTTTGAGTTGTGGCAATGTTCGAACCGCTGGTGAGCATGCTTGTAGATTCACAATCACACACGTAGGTGCGAATTTGCAAGTTCGAATTCACAAGGGGGGACCCGAGCCGCATGGGGGG